CTCCGACTCAGGCGTGCGCGCGTGTGTATGTGGGTGTGTGCATGATTACCTTAAGCTATTTTACACACATAATTTTATCTTCTAATATAGAGAGAAACGTACCTCAATTGGATACGCTGGTTGTTCATTGTATATCTTCACGAATATTTCGCCGATTATCAATTCGTTAGCATGAGCGGTATACTTGAAATCACTAAAATCATGTTCAAAATTGTCGCTATTATTTAATCTCTCTTGCCGTTTCAGTTCTAAATATTCATTTAATTCCGCCCTAGTGCCATTGTCCCAGATTAAATATGGATTTGAACAATTAGAATTTAATATCTTTAAAATCTCTTCGGGTTTGTCTTTAATAAGCTGACGCGCCAAATAGGGTGTTAACAAACATTCCAAAGCGGCGACTGTGACTGGATTAACGGGTGTCTCGTTCTCGCCTTTCATATAACCACCTAATCTAGCACAAGCACGAACTGCCAATTTAGCCAAGTTGTTGGCTACTTCTTGACGATTTTCGTCCTGATTTCTTTCTACACCACCTTCTTCTAAGGTATAATCATAGTTGAACATGAAGAGCAACAGATCCCATAAAGCACCAGATTGTAATAGTTGCATTTGCAATATGCTATCCGTAGCCAAAGATGAAATACATTCTGTGGCAACCGCACACAATCTTGTTAAATGCTGCAAGGAGGATAAAGAAAAATAAAACTTGAGAAAAAGACAGCAAATTAAAAAGAAAGAATTCTATTCTTAAGTTATAAAATAATCTTGTAGATACCTTAAAATGCAGTATCCTACAAAGGTCTCTTACAAGTTGCGGCAATTCGATAATCTTATCTCTGCAACTTCGAAATGATCCGGCAACAGCGAAACATCTAGTGATATGCATACAAACTTGTACCGCTACGTCAGTGGATTTACTTGATCTGCTCAAGACGGACACACATCGTGTATATGCTTCTAGCAATACGTCTAAACCACCCTCCCTTCGCAATTCTTCGGCATTTAAAGCCGAACAGTGCACAGTGTGGTACGCGAGTTCACTGGCAGCTGCTAATAACGGAGCAGACTTTGAAAATAATCGTTCGTCATCTGTTTCTAGCTTGATTGTTTTGATTAACTGAGGATAACCAGCGTACTTGTAAGGTCCAAGTTCTTCCGTATATCTATGGAAAAGAATGCTTTGAGTCCTCAGAATCAAAACAATGTTGTCAGGATTAGGGCCAGTCGTTGACCAACAACTGCGGCTACACAGAAATTCGTATGCCTGACTGACAGCTTCGAACTTATCCTAAAATCATTATCATTTTACATGCATATGTATGCGTATACATATACACGCGCATGTATATGTAGACACGCTTACGCTTGATTCGTAAAGAGAGATTAACAAATTCAAACGCAGACTTACCCGGCCTTCAGGATTTTTATCAGGATGATACATTTGAGCTAATTTATAAAATGATTTCCTGACGATCGCTCCATCATGCTGTTTTCCACTTGGTAAGCCAAGTTGCTTATAAGCTTCATCCACAGTCATCAGAGGTGGCTTTTTCTCTACCTCTCTCTTCCATGCATCCAATACATCTTTCAACAATTGCACCTAATTCAATATTACATATTACTGTTACGTAAAATATTATGTACAAGATATACACAAGATATACACGAGATATATCGAGAAGGCTCAAGTCAACTCGCTTGCACTTACAGGTTCTGGGATAGGCCACTGCGGAAATTTAACAGTATCGCAAAGATGTCTGAGATAGAATATTTGGCAGAACAATTCGTTTTCCAATTGTGGATATCTTATAGCAGGTATAGCGATATATTGATACCTGGCCATGGTATGACTTCGCAACTTGGGAGTAAAATCTGCAATGTGCGCAGCAATTTTCTCAATAAGCATTCGTCGCATTTCTGCGTTCCAAATCGCTTCTGGCGTATCGTAATCTCCAAGAAATATTTGCGCGAATTTCTCTGCTCCGTGGTTCTCTAAATAACTCACCATTGCATCAGGCAATAATTGACCGAGAATGCTTCGTTGCATAATATCTGAAGAAGTGCTCTAAAGAATGTAAATAAAATACATGCAAATTATAGATATTTCTTTATCGTAACTGAATTACAATCTTTATTATGAATCTTTATTATGAAAACAGATTTATAAACTCACATCATCGTTCCTAAAGGCTTGTTTTGTGTGCGTAAGCTGTAAGAATCTCGCAATTGGCAAGACGTTAGAACCAGTGTACATTAAGATAAAATAAAACACACCAGTAAGATAAATTTTGGATACATCCGCATTATCTCGCATCACTTCACATAACAATGTAGCAACTCTTTCAACTAGAATGGGATCGAATGTTAGCAGAAGCTGTACAATATGTGGCAGGTACTGAAGATCAGACAGCAATCGCTTCACACGTGGCAAAGGCCTGATTACCGCATCATCGGCATCTCTACTTGGAAAATACTCGCACATCTTGATTAAAATATTCAAAATTAAATTGGCCAATTCACTTTCGTTTATCACGGGAGTTCCCTTTGCGACAAGACTCCACTTTAATTGTGGCACTTGTGAGATCGTTTTCCACCCATCTAACCCTTGGGCCCAAACTTTTGTTTTGTAAGTCACATGACTCGAGCCGTATAAATCTTTCAGGTCTTTTAGACTTACCGGACCTTCACGTTGATCTCCGTTATTATAGTACCATTCTTTTTCCATTCGTTCTTGCTGTGGCCCTGCTTCTATCACATTGGTCTGCGTCGGAACGACAGCTCGAGAAGTATGTAGATGTGCCAATGTCAATAAATCGACTAAAGTTCGCACACCATTTTGATCCATTATATCTTTAACATTTCGCCTGTGCAATATGAGTTTATTTATAAACATGACTAGTCTATCACGTTCTGTTCTATCCGCGCAACGCTCCAGCATTCCCAGGATGTATTTTGTATCCGAGAATGGGCCAATATCTTCGTAATATCGACCATATACTATCGTCATTGCTTGCAGGCAAAGGCACTTCATTTCAATTTTCGCAGTCAATAAAAATCTATGGTATAAATCATTAAAAAATTCGTATCTGTAATTAAAAATAAAACTTCATTACATAAAGTGTCTAAAGTGCACCAAATAAATTAATGCGAGCAATTATAGAATATAATTTGTAACGAAAGAGTCGCACAATTTCTCTTTTTTTTTAGTTTTTCGCTACTTACAATACGTAAATCTTGTAAATGTTTCTTTTTTAGTTTGGAACACATATATCTACTATGTACACGATTATAAATTCTTGAGACAAAATCAGATAAAGTTCTATCGCGCGATACGTTTCTAATTGTTGAATATATGCGAATAGCGAAGTTGTCGATACATATACTTACGATTTTCTTATAGGATTGTCCGGACTATCCTTTTCTAATAAAAGTCTCAAGTAATAATCTCCAATTTTGACTTCATCCGAAAGACATTGATATTGCACCTCAAATTCTCTATGATTCCACGCGATCAAAGTTCCACCGGCCAAATCTTTATCCGAACTAAATGCACGTATCTCATTTTCCAAAGCTATTCTCAACTCTTCTCTCGTCTTATGATTCCAAATTAAATTTGGCAGTGCGTGATCTTGATTAAATTTATAATAGAACAATTTCCAATTTGCTTCGGATTTAATTCGTTCTCTACGTTTTCTTAACACTATCGGACGCTCTTTAATCTTTTCTCTCCGTTCTATACCGATACGAGCACCCCAGTGTTGCAAAGCATTTTCTACATGCTTCTCGACCACTCGCATCTGACGTTCAATAGCTATCCATTGTGGGCTTTTCTTATTTCTTGATGCATGATCTATGGCTATCTTCAAATTGTCACGATTGTTCAGTCTCTCTTCCTCTAAGAATGTGTCTGGTATCTTTTCATCAGAATCCAAATAATTCAACAGGCCTACCGGCTACAAATAAATTGCAGCAATTCCACGTTATCCATAGTGGCAATAAGTACATTTTCAAAGAGCAAATCTATCTTGACAGAGATATATATCGAGGACTCACCATAATTCGTTTCAATAATCCCATAGCCGTAGGATGTCCCGTAACCCATAAACCTACTAAGTGTCGACACAATTGTCGATGTGTTAATAATCTGCCATCGCTACCGATCGTAAACAAACTGTTCAATAAATGTCTCGGTAGAGCTCCTTCTGCAAGTGCTAGCTCTTGCATTTTTGCTGCTACTTCTGGTGCACCTTCCTCAATAATTGCTCGCATTATTAGTCCAGCACCTTTGACCACAGCCAGTGAAGGATGTTGAAACAACTTGAACAAAGATCTACCTCTTGTGGCAACCATTTCTAAAAGATTATCAAAATGCTTGCCATCGGTAGTCTCACTGTATGGCACGCACAAGGCAAATGTTAAAAGATCGAGCATAGCAGAGACCACCAGTGCACCTGTACCATGATTCTGTAATGTTAAAAAAAAAAAACAAGAAAAATTTCAATGCATCGCAATAGTGATGAAACATCTCCATCGCTACATCATTACATATTATATATATATTTTACAGAGTATCTTTGAACATTGCCAAAGGATTGTAAAAATTTAACGTATGTTTTTCAATTAAGAAGACAATCTTTTATAGATTTGTCAAGATATCTCATAAGTAGACTTCAGAATAAAAAAAAAAAATAATACACATATATGCACGCACATACAAAAATAGAACAAACGCAATTACAAAGACGAGTTTTAAAATAGATTTTTAGAGCGATCTGATCTTACAAGTGATAATTATAACAACTTAAAATACTTACAATATGATTAATCCACATTTCAAGTAAACTTTCTAAAAATTTATTACTGCTAAGCAAGCTACTCTTGTTCAATTGTTCTTGTCTTAAATCGCAATCGTCATGCATCGGTTGCATTAGAGCACAGATACAATCTATAGCAGCTTGCGTTACACCACAATTTTGTCTTTTCAAAGCCTTTACGACTTTTGTACCAACGGCTTCTCTAAAACCAGGATGCGTTGTAAATGCAGCAAAGCCAATCTTGCTAGCCACCAATCTTCGTAGTGCATGAAATTGTGCTTCAATCTCGCTATTCGTTTCAAGATCTTTGCTGATCAAATTGTTCAAAGCTCCGAGAATAATTTTGTCTTTATTTTCAGTAAAAATTCCCTGTAAGTAATCATTCGTGATACGATGGAGTATTAATGCTTGGAGTATTAATGGATGGTACTTGGAGTGTTAATGCTGTTACAGTCCATTTAAGCAGTACAACTTCCTAGATAAGACAGAAAATGCCTCATGTCCCTTTATGTCTTTACTGTTTAACGTATTTAATTTCTATTTGAAACTTTATAATTAATATACATACAGGGATCTCACAAGACAAGGACAGACAAATGACAAAACAAAGACAAACAAAAATGTCTGTGTAGTTTTCATTATAAAGTTTCAAAGATATTTTAAACTTGATATATTTTAATCGCTTCAATGTACTGTATAAATTCATATATATATCAAAATATAATGGTTAAGTTACATATTTATATCTCTTAGAATATAATGTTGTTCTGGAGAGGAAGGAAAAGGGAGAGGGAAGAAGAAAGTAAAGAATAGAAGAAAAGGAAGAGTTACTTCAGCTTACATCTTGCGTGATGGAATAATTAAGTCCGCTGTATGATACATTTGCGTTAAATCTCTCCAAAATTTCAGCAAATGTACGTCCTCCAGGCGGTTGCTGAAGAAACTTAACATGCGTCGTTTCGACTTCTTCGTCAACGGATAGATTGAAAGGTCCAAGTCTTTTACCTCTGGCAATTGGATACATCTTTACGTGAACATCTCTGTTACCCGATGCTCTTACACCATCTAGTAAGGATGCTAATAAGGAATCTCTATTTGTTGCGATATAACTGCGCATTTGACCATTAAGATATTGTATAGTGAATAATTGAGGATTATCATTATCACGAATCAAAGTAAAAATGTCCGACAATGGTCTAAGAGTACAAATGTTATACGTTTGAGGATCTCTCTCCAACAGACAAGTGTCTGAGAGACAAAGCGTTCTTCTTTGAGGATCCAAATGCCTAGAAGACAGTTTATGAACAGTAAATTCCGATACGCTCGTTATATGCTCGTCACCGCTAAATTTTCCTAGTCTTTGAGCAATAAAGTCATCGAGTCTTATAGGTTCCTTTAACATTTTTATATTAATGCCCAAATTATTTAATGCAGCTTCTTGTAATTTCTTTTTTATCTCTTCCATATGCATAGAAGCAAAGAGATGTAAGCGTCCAAATCCACCGCATACAATAACAAATCCATTGGGATAATCTTTCATCGTTAGCAGTCCTTCAAAATCTTTATAACAATAACTGGCTAATACCATGTTTGTCGCAGGATCTAATTGATCGAGACTATACGATGTTATTTCCAATACAACAGGTAATTTGGTATCAGACCAGTGATGTTTATAAGCTGGATATCTCTATGAAGATAAATATTTTCTATTTATCTTCACACACACACACACACACACACACACACACATCGTAATAACTTCGTAATAATGTAT